ATTAAAAATCATTATTTATCAATTAAATTAAATAAAAAATAAAACAAGACTGCAAGTGACGTCACTCGTGGAAGTGCAGGTGTCTGAGAGTGCAAGTCTGAAAATGCAAGTGCATGTCTGCAGCCAGACCCTTCTGGCTTTGTTTGCAGCAGTAACCAAGGAAACACTGTATCTGGTGTTCCATGAGCGCCTCCTGCTGTCAGAGAATGAATATGCGTCTCATTCAGGCATGTAGTATAATTTCACAAAGCTAGTCAGAACATTCTGTTTTTGCTTCAAATTGGGTTATTATTAAAGCAAATTAAGTATATGAAATTATATAACTAAATGATATGAAATTATATAAATTATATGTATATGAATTATATAACAATTAAATAACTGTAATTACAGATTTAGGTTAAATAAAGATGTCAGTCTTTATTTTTCCTCTTTTTAGGAAACAAATCAAAGAAAAAATAAACAAATTCTACTGTTCCTAATATTCTGTATGTTGCTCAATAACAAAATATATTGTGTTCAGTGGGGAAAAGTTTTTTTTTTTTACCCAGTCATTTAAAATAACACATTTTAGAGCTGTAACGACAATACCGTGAAGCCGTAATATTTTTGCTTAAGGTTATCATACAGTCAAAATCTCATACCGGCCCATGCCTACTTAAAACCAGACGGGAAATTAAACCACACTATGCCACCGTTTTGAAAAGACAGCATCCTACACATTTCTTTGCATAATCAAGGCAATCTGTTTTATAGTTTGCTACATGACAGATGCATTAAGATCAGACAACTCACGTAGCGTTGAGGAGAGGTGGTGTATAGGTGGGGATGTAGTCCAGGTGTGCCCTGACATCAAACCTATCAATCATGTAGCTGGTATCTCCTTGCCAAGGCATCCTGTTAGAACAAAGGATGAAGTTGTGACAGATTTCCAAATAAAAACCCTTATATGGGCTGTTATGTTGGTGTGAGAAATAAGGCAGCATGATTAATTGAAATAAAACCAAAATTGCGATAATGGCTTTGTGCATTTCTCAGATTGCAAAGGCTGTGATGTTATTGAATAATTATATGTGCTGTATGTTTCAGAGTGAAGCTTTTACTTTCCATCCACAAATATACATTTGATGATGCAACGTTTGAAAATTATGTAATTAACATTGCCAAAAATATCAGTACTGTAATTTTCCAGTTGTAACATAAAATAAATTTTTTATGTTGTTACTTTTCCTAAACACTTGATTTATTTTTATTTTACAATGAAATTTGATATTTCTTTTGATTTATTTACTAACTTTTTATAGTTTTATTTAGTGGCAATAATAATTATTATTATTAGAGAACCATTTTTTTTTTCTCCAGAAAAATCACAATTAGTTTTCTTCCCAAATCACTGATCCATATGCTAGTTACATACATGTTGAGGGGACTCTCAGCCGCCAGGGCTACTGCTGAATCCAGGTGAATTTTGTATGCCCGTCCATGAACCTGCAGGAACTGGGCTGGATCCTTTTTCTACACAGAATGAGAGAAGTGTGATTGTTCATTTAAAACTTCTATGCAGGACCAAGATTAAGCTGTGCTCAAAAAACAAAGAATGAAAGTGCAGTCAAGGTCACAGACTTTCATTTGTCAACTTACGATTTTCTCATAGAACTCTCTGCGTCTCTCCCCACGCCGCTTGTAGTCCACCATCATCCCGCGCAGTTTGCGCTCATGTTTGCGGGCCTCCTGCCACATGATGGCTCCGCTTGCGGTTGGGGTGCGTCGGGGCAGGGCTGCTGCTATGGGACACAGAGGGTACAAATCAACCAAACTAACACACTAGCTGCCACATATAGTGCCATTCTGAATGTGAATTCATCTTTACACTTACAGAAAAGTATATTTCACCATGGGAAAACACATGCCAAATACATTATGCTAAAATAGTTTATACTGTAGATTTCCCCACTGCACGTAATGAACTGCAGCAACTATACATTAAAAACATGGCACTTGTGTCATGTGTCAATCAATGTACAATACAATTATCATATTGTTAACGAAACTAGTAAACTGTATTAACTGAACACCAAGTGTCCAAACACTCACAGGAAAAGTTGTTTATAGGTTACAGATTAACTAACCTTGATTAAAAAAAGTCTGACACGGCCAGATCCTAAGTAAAAGAGGATTGCGTTTGCTTCATAAACAGCATCAAAACTGTATAATAATGGTTGAAACGCTTGACCTTTACATTGTAAGTGCATAATAACACATATTTAACTACACAGTAACAAAATGAAGAAAGAAAAAGTAACGTTGATAGCCAAGTGGCTAAAGCCTCTCAAGCTAACTTCACATACATGTCAATTCTGAAAATTATTCCTAATGTTATTTTGAACGCACATCAAAGACTATAAACTACTCAGGTCGTGCAACTTTAATGTAGCATTAAGATTTACAGCTCACGTCAGATTATATATTATGTTATTAAACACTGGCGGAGCCGCTAACGCTAGCATGCTAGCTGGCTATATTTTACATCCAACGTTAACAACTGACAATGAAGCGATATGACCGTCACCAAATATCCTTTGCGACTTCCAGAATTAAATGAATTACCTGTTTATGTTTACAATATGTATAGTGTGATTTTTCTTCATAGAAAACACAAACGTCGGTCACCAAGTGGAAAAGGCCGCTAGTTTACATACACGCACACACGCCTCCCAGTCCCAGCGGACGAGCTCTCAGATCATTGAGCTGAGGAAACAACTAGAGGGGCTACTTCTTCTTCTTCTTCTTCTTCTTCTTCTAATAACGTTTTATGGCGGATTGCAAATCAACTTCTGGTGCATTTACCGCCACCAACTGGACTGGAGTGTGAAGCACTAATAAGCAACTAATATATATATATATATATACACATACATACATATATATAC